CGCCTCCCGCAGGAGCCCCGCTGCGCCGGGACGGGCCTGGCGCGCGGGAGCCGCGCACACGAGCGGCGCGGCGCGGCCCCGGCCCGCCGTCCCTTTAATGCCTGCTTTGACAGCTCCGGGTGAGGAAGCACTTCCAACAGCTGTCTTCTTGGCAGTGCCCCAAGCGCCGGCTTAACGCGTCCCCGCCTGCAGCCGCTTCACCTCCTGCAGCCCAACAAACGCGGCGATTGTTCCGCTCGCCGGCGGCCTTGCCACCCGGCCCAGGGCTCAGCCAGAGCGTTTCGTGCCGCAGCCCCGTGGCTGGGGCGAAAACACGGGCGTTCTGTGCAAAAACTCCATCCCTGCCCATGCATTATGCGGGTGGCTATCCCACTTTAATTGAAAATCAGATCTGAACCCCTACAAAATTGCATCCGTGCAATTGCTGCATTAAACTTTAAAAATAATTGTTCTTAAATCTGGGTCAGAGTATGCATTTGCTATATATTGCATACTTTTCAAGGTCTACGTCTGCCTACAGATAGTGGACACGCCCTCTTTTTACTCTCTGTTATTTTGCTGCTGCTTTTGCTGTACACATTTTTCAGTAAATGCATTTGGATTGGCATTTGTTCTGAATATGTGCTGTATGAATAATGCTTATTTTCCATTTCGTATTGCCCAAAGATGATGAAGATGAGGAGGAAGAGGATGAAGAAGAAGAAATTGATGTTGTGACAGTGGARAAAAGGCGCTCCTCCTCCAACAAGGCTGTTACCACCCTTACTATCACAGTGCGCCCTAAAAATACCACTTTTCCACCAGTCAGGACACAGCAGAACGAACTGATTTTGAAGCGCTGCGCACCAATTCACCAGCAACATAATTACGCCGCTCCTTCCCCGTACATGGAGAGTGAAGATGCTCCACCACCGAAAAAGTTAAAACCCGAGGTGCCCCGTCCAGTGAAACCCATGATCCAACCAAAGTCTAAGAGTTCAAGTCCTCGAAATTCTGACTCGGAGGATAGTGAGCGTCGACGTAACCATAACATCCTGGAGCGTCAGCGGCGTAACGACCTGCGGTCAAGTTTCCTCACGTTAAGGGACCATGTTCCAGAACTGGTTAAAAACGAGAAAGCTGCAAAAGTTGTGATCTTGAAAAAAGCCACTGAGTATGTCCATTCCCTTCAGGCCGAGGAGCAGAAGTTACTGCTAGAAAAGGAAAAATTGCAAGCCAGGCAACAACAGTTGCTAAAGAAAATAGAATACAAGCGGACTTGCTAAACTTCTTTGTTTTCTTCTTTTTTTTTTGGCTGACCAGGACAGTCATTGCCACTTTGCACATTTTTGATTCTTTAAAAAAAAATTGTGTTTTTTGACGTTAAGAATGTTGGTTTTACTTTCAATCCAGTCCCTGAAGTAATCGACAAACTATATTTTCCGGGTACGGAGCAAATGGATGTTCTTGCAAGGATTTTATTGCAAGACTACCAAACAACAATGGACTGCCTTTGTTTTTCTTCTTAAGAACTGTAGATGGTGGGATTTTTTTTTAATTGTTGTGAGCATTTGGAGCTGCTGATGACATCTAGTTGAGTTTTTAAAAATGTTCATTCCTAATTTTTATGGTGCTTACGTTCTAACAGATGTTACTTTAGGGGTTCGCATTTGTACCCCTGTGGGAATTTTCTGTAAATACCATCTACACACTTGCCTTTTGTACATGTCTTGGGTTATGAGAGGTGGCTTCTGCTACCAGTATTAGACTGGAAGTTCATACCTAAGTACTGTAATACCTCAATGTTTGAGGAGCATGTTTTTGTATACAAATATATTGTTAATCTCTGTTATGTACTGTACTAATTCTTACATTGCCTGTATACTTTAGTATGATGCTGATACATAACTAAATTTGATACTTATATTTTCGTATGAAAATGAGTTGTGAAAGTTTTGAGTAGATATTACTTTATCACTTTTTTGAACTAAGAAACTTTTGTAAAGAAATTTACTATATATGCCTTTTCCTAGCCTGTTTCTTCCAGTTAATGTATTTGTTAATGTTTGGTGCATAGAACTGGGTAACTGCAAAGTTCTGTGTTTAATTTCTTCCAACGATGTACATTTAGTGCTGCGTCTTATAGCACTTTGAAATACCTCATGTTTATGAAAATAAATAGCAATTACATGATGTGCCATTTACTATTTTTCTTTTAAATGAAGTTCTTCTTTTAAATAAAATTGTTAACTTGAAAATGTTTATGAAATACAAGAACATGGTTCCATATTCTAAGCACTTAATGTCTGTAGTTGAGGAATATGTCAAGTCCTGACAGCAAGGCAGGAAACTTCCTGTTCTGGTTCAACGTATTTGTAGTAAAAGCATTATTTTCTCCTTACCCCCCCTCCCCCTACTTGGGATGTCTCCTGTGATGTAAGGAATATCCCAGGGAACTGAATTTTCCATTAACTATGGTTAATGGAAAGACTTTCTATCTCTGAAGATTTTTTGGAAAATACATCACATGCAGAGAATTTTGAGGGCTCAGGAACATAATTGACATGCGTTTGCTATGGGACTGACTTCCATGCGCTAGACAAGTGGAAGGATGAGTAATGGGGATGCAATTTCCCACATCTCAGGAAATGAAATATTTGTAGGAAAAGAAGATCTTCTCTAACTGCTTTGTTTTCTTCCTAACATTACAAAAGACATATCCTTAAAGTTGTCCATGAGTGCATAGGAGATTTGATCTTTCTTGGCTGTAGTCTGAGATCTTATTCGTCACTATTGGTGTTAAGTTAGGAAGGCTTAAAACTTCCAGGAAAAATAATACTAAAGTATCTTGAGTCCAACTGTATGTGAGAATACCATAATACAATAGCAATGCCTTTTCTGTGGCTTGGAGAACTATGAAGTATGTGCCAGATGACTTCTTGGCAGAGTGGTGGACTTCGCTTGTCTCATGTGTCAAAGCATTTTGTAGTGTGACAGGAGCAAGACCTCCACGTGTGCAGGATATGTTTGGCAATACAGGCTTAAGAGTTGTCCTGAGACCAAGGAGCTGTTGCGTTTTCTTATCTGTACTTGGGTCTTAGATCTTTTTCCCCAATATACCTGGAAAATAGGCCTTGGAGAAGTGAACAAGTAGCCATTGAGTAGATAATGGGTGAACTTGCAGAGTTAGTCCTTGAAAATTGCCCATTCTTTTTAGAAAAGCCACAGTAAATGGGAAGTAATTTACTTGGTGAAAGAGGTACAGGGTATCTCCTGTTTACCATGTGGTAACAGCAAAATCACTATAGGTACCAGCCATAGGGACTTGTCCATGTACCCATAACTTGCACATTCCTGGGGCCTGGCCCATTTTGCCAAGAGTTGAACTTGCAAAACTTATGATGCAGTAAGTGCAGGTTCTCAGTGTGCACTTTTATGCTGTCTGAGGTTTTGGCCTGGGTTGGTATACTGTATTTTCTAAATTCAAATACAAAGATCACAATCATTCAAAAAAAATATATATATATATATATACACACTCATTTTTTATCTCTAGATTTGGACTTGCTCTTGTTTCTTTCAATTTCCCTGTTCAGTAAAAAAACTACTAAAAAATCCTGAATAGAGATTTCTTTGGTGTTGGCAGGCAGGAGGAACATTTAATTTTGCTAGTTACAACTGACTGAAATTGTTTTTAAACCTTATTTTATTAGCAGTTCTTGTTGGATCGCTCCTATAAGTATTATTGTCGCATGTGGTCGCTATGAGTTGTCTGCTAAGAGGAGGAAGGCTGCTCCATCATCCCACCACACTTTCTTAACCATACCTGCTTGACTTCCAGGAGCACTCCTTAACATACATTTATTGTTAGATTTAGTAAAATGTAAAAATATGTTGCAGCTGTAAGTTGTCCAAGTGCTCTCCTACAAAGTACACTTGGACAAAAATGGTGTATATGGTCTAAGGATGTGTAATCTAAGGACTGAACATGGAAAACCAGTCAAGAGATTGGCCTCCCTTCTCCCACTCCCTCTCTGTCCATCTTTCCCTCTTCTCATACTCTGCATTTGGAAGAGACCTCTAGAGAGYATCTGTCCCAATTCTCTCACTCAAAGCAGGGACGGCTTCAAAATTAGACCCAAGTTGCTCAGAGCCAGATCTGGAATATCTTAGATTCCACAGCAAACTTAACCAATTTTTGCTGATACCTCTTTGCTCTTCAGAATTTTACTTGTTGCAAGCCATGTCCATCATCTCCTTTCTGCTGCATCTCCCGAAAGAATCTGGCTGCACCTTCTCTGTTACCTCCTGGCAACACGTTAGCCCAAGTTAGCTGCCCCTTAGCCTCACCTTCCTGAAACTGAGCCCAGTTGTGTCTCTTGCTGTTGTGATATTAATGTATAATAAAGGTGCTTAATCCTTACATTTGTTCAGATATTCATGCAAAATATTAGAAAAAATATCCATTTGTTTGGATATGCTGAAAAGCCTTTTTTTCAGTGTGTAGAGTCTTRGCCTGACCCTTTAAATTCAATAATAAATGGCCAGCTGGTTTCAATGGAGTAGGATTTGGCCCTGTACGTGGCAGAAGTGCTGCCATGTATTATTGTTTGAGTTTATGTGCTCTACTACTAGTATCTTCTTTGGGTTTGTCTTTTTTTGTTCTGTTTTGTCTGATTTATCTTTTTTTTTTTTTTTTTTTTTTTTGTAAATAAGTTACAGGGGCTAATAGATTTGCTTTCAAATTGTTGCTGTAGGGAGTAAGTTGTCAAGGACATGTTTTTGTAAGTAGAAATTTCAGTTGTAGAATGTTATTCTGTTACAATTGCTAAATAGAACATGGTTTTTRTTTAAAATATAAATTTGAGAGGTGTAGGGAAGATAGCTTTCAAAAAGAAGAGGTAAACAAGTTATTTAATATTTACAAAAGGATCTCTATGAGACTTACAAACAACAGTAATGGAAGATCCTGATCTCTTCATGTCTGGCGTGAAGAGTCCCTAAAGACTCAGTCAAATGAACAGAGACACTCTATTCAATTTTCTTAATATACAGATCCATATTTGATGATAAATCCAAATATACCTGGGGAAACTGATAAAAAAAAAGTGCCTAATAACTCCTTATTAAAAAGCTGGTGTTCCCTATTCATGAATGGAAAAATGAATTAGATTGATTCCAATCTTATCTACTCTGTATATAAAATTTCTCAAGTTCTGTTTCATGCAAGGCAGAATCAACTGGTAGAATCAGATGGTTTCCTCACAAATTACGTACCCCAGAGGACAATCTCCTTCCACTTTTCTACTTATTTTCTTAAAGCTGCCACTATGAACACAAGGGACTTCAAACAGCAAAATGAAATGATTCCCCCATAAACCAGCATAAGTAAAACACCAGCGGGAGAGCTTAAAAAGGTGAAATGTGTTAATGATGTCATTACCACTAGGTCACCTGTTGCCATGAGTGCGAAGGAAAGTAAATTTCTCAAACCCCAAGCTGCTGTTATAGCAACTTATCACCAGGTCTTGGCAGAACTGCTTGAGATTTCATGATGTGTATAATTTGCAGAGGGCACATTTGCTCCTGGTAAATATTCTGATAAACCATGCTAGGATAAAATGACTTTAAACGGATCTCATTCTTAAGTCTTTATTTCCTAACTTGTGGCTGGCTTAAATCAGAGGATTAATTTTATTTGAAGCTTTAAGTTTTGGATCATGAATTTAATGACCTTTTTTTGTACCTTTTTGTTTATCATGCACTTGACAAATATGTCATGATTTATACCTGTGTTCCTTTCCTTGCTTTCTCATGCCCTTCCCCTTCTCCTTCCCCTTCCCCTTCCTCTTCTTCTTCCTCTTCCYCTTCTCCTCCCTTTTCCCCTTCCCTTCCCTTTTCTTTATTTCTTTGTACCTAAAATATATGTGATGCCTTTTCTCTTGACATCCCAAAGAAGACATGAAACTCAAAGGCATTTGAGGTGTCACAACAATCTCTTTAAAGTAAGCAGGGTTTGCAGCTCAAAGATCAGATATACAACACTTCCAGAAATCTCGTTGAAAAAAAGAAATGTTGCAAATCATGGAAGAGAAGGTGACCATCTCACAGTGGTTTTTGCCATCGTACTTTTTGTGASTGTGAGGGCATTGGCAGTCAAGAGCATCAGCCTCAACATTCTCCCCTTAGCCCTTGCTCTGCGGCCAGACAAGCTTGTACTTCTCCTGGGCTATATTTTCTCTTCATTGCACCATGGGCTGCTTCTTGTTGCCTGTTGGTTTGTGCTTCCAGCTCATCATATTGCTGTGCTCAATGCAGAAAAATGTCTGGCCACAGTCAAACCAGTGGGTGTTTTGCCTCTAGCTTGCGTGAGGTGAGAATTCCCCCTGGCTGCAGCTCTGAGATTCCCATCCAGCTTCGGGCTTTAATGGCCAGATCCTTCCTTCCATGAAAATAATTATGTATGTATTAGAGCAAGACTCAACTCAGAGAAGATAAAATGGATTCTTAGTTTATGAGCTGTGAAGCTTCCTTGTGTGCCTGCTGTATGTATAGATTAACATACATGCTGTATGCATGAAAGGAATTCTGCATGTGCCGATTCGTGAGCTCTGCTGGAGTGAGRCTGTGTTTTAACCATGTAAGTAACAAGAGGCCATTTGGTCCTTCAAAGAAAAAACAATCAATCAAGCAAATGGTTTTGTTRTTGTTGTTTTTTCCCATGTATTTATGATCACTCCATTTATGACCTTCCTAAATAACAGAGAAATGGAAAGAAACCAGAATGTACAAAATAAATAAATACAGTTAATGTTCAGTGCTTTGGAATTCCGTAATGAAATGGATGGGCATGTATTATTCATCAGACTTGCAACTGAATTAGGACCTATTTGGGAATCATCTCTGAGCCACTGAGTTAAATTTCATATGTGTAATCACTGTTAGGCTCCATATATACCATTACATTTCCTCTATTTGCAGAGTCTGTCTTTGCCATGATATAGTTCTT